TTCAGATGAATGGCTCATCTACCCAACTGATTAAACACATGACATTACGTAATATGAAAAGACAGCTGTGCTTCGTTAAGCTTACTTTTCTGTCTGAAAACTTTTAAAAGGTAAATTTTAGGGAGTGAGCTAGGGAGAGCTCTCTGTATAAATTCTTGGCTCTTCATATTCAATTTCAGATGCCTATTTCCCAACCCATGAAATCCTCAAGGCTGAGTTGTTAAATTGGGAGTAGCAGGTATGTGTGTGTGTGTGTGTGTGTGTGTGTGTGTAGAAAGAAACCTGTTTGCTTTCTGAAACAAGTAGTAAAACAGGTTGTTTAGTGTATGTGATGTCCCTTGTCCAATTACCTTGAACTAGGTAATTGATTTAAAATTCATCTGCCTGGACTAATACCTTATATTTATGCAGTGCTTTGAACTTTTCAAAGCATTTTTATATTTATATATCTCATTTGAACTTCACAACAACGCTATGAAGTGGTAGAGAAGGCAATATAATCTACCACTACCACTTAAAAGATGGTTAAACTGAGGCACAGGATGTCAGGAAACTTGTTCAAGGTCAGACGACCAGTAGATCTCACAACTAGAACCAGAACACCAGCATTCTGAAACTTAAGCCTGTGCTTTCTTGGCAGAAAGGGTCCCTGCCACTGTTTGATTTACCCAGAGTTCCTGTGGAGATTCGTGGCTACAATTTAATTGGAGAATACAAATCAGGCATGCCTATAGAGCTCCACAGAAAGGAGATTGTGTCTTTTAGATCATGACTGTGTTAGAAAGGGGAGGTAGAGAATGGAGTCAGTTGTTTCCCACAATGCAAATTAAAAACAAACAAAAACACTCTGTAATCTGTTTCAGGGTATTTTGGGGCAATTCATTCGCTAAATGGTGTATTCATTTTTTAAAAGTATTTATTAAGTGCCTTTCTGTAAGAGACTGCTCAGCACTTTGGGAAGATACAAAGAGATGCATTTAATATTTTGGAAGGATTGTTTTGAATTATATAGCTAGTCACCATTTTATTCATTGCTCATTACCACCTAGTAAATGAAATGAAAAAAGGAAAAGAAAGATAAACAAAAACAGTTGAAGGAAACTTGGCAACTAATTTTCCTTAATTCTCTCCTTGTAGGGGGCTTTATTTTTTATTTGTTTAGTTTTTCAATCAAGGTGATAAGTTTGCCATGTCATTTAATATGGCACTCATTTTTAACCCTACTGCTTCCTTGAAATTAGGGAGACTGGCTCAGGTTGGTGCAAGGTTCCCAAATAGGAATACCAGACCAAGATTTAAGAGAAAATATTAACATACAGCCTAAAGCTTTCAGTACCAGAAAAGAATTTCCAAAGGCCAGAAATGAGTTTTTGCAATAGTTTCCCCTCCCTGGCTCCAAAAAGAACCTTTCCTCTCTGCAGGCATGCTTGAAGATGTGTACAAAAGGAAAGAGGCACTAATGTGTGCAAGGAAACAACCCACAGAGTAGCTGAAGGCCCTGTCATTTGGTTGGAAGATAAACAAGAGTTTGCTAATGGGTAGTGTGGGTTCCCTGGTGGGGGGTGGGGGCGGGGGTGGAGTGAAGGGTAGGATGGAGGTGGTGGTGAGGGGGAGGTCTTTTTTTATATTATTATTAAACAGTCCCCTGGAAAATTTTTTTTCCTTTCTGCACAAACATCTCCAAACCTGAAGATAAAACTTGAGTTACTATTTATACTGATTTTAAGTACTTGTTTGATATGTTTTTAGTTTATCCTAAATGTACACAAATAGTGTTATTAAGTATAACTATTTTGTTGTTTTTGTGACAGGCCCTGCTCAGTCCCCAAAGTGGGTATTGAAACAGTGTGCATGGTCATATGTACTATTTATTTGCTGTGTGTGTGTGTGTGTAAAGAATGGAGACCCAGAGTTAACCCTGTTCTGTCCTTACCATTTTCCCCATTTTGCTTCTCTGGGTTTCCATGTCTTCAATTTGTAAAATGATAGAAGTAGATGAACTCTAAAATCTGTTCCAACTCTACCAACTGATGATGCTGCAGCTTTTAAACATGTTTCAGTTACATTCAGCATACATTGAAGTTATATTTAACATACATGGGCACTCTGAACAACATGGTAGGGTACCACTTCAGGAAAATTGGCCATAGTTGGGTATACCATCACAATTAAGATAAAATTAAGCTTATTCACTTCATAAAATCATTATTTGATTTGCAAAATAATTTCAGAATACCAAATAACAAATTAGTTGTGTATTTAAAATAAAGATGTAGTTTAATACATGTTTTCAGGAAAAGGAATCTTGAGTGGAACATACTTGCATTAAAATAACAAAAAATATACACATATGCATGTCATAATTAAATCATAGTATTTTTGGAATGTTATAGAGATTCCTGAGAAATTTCAATGCAACGTCCACATTTTAAAAAACAGGGAAGGACTTGTCGGGTGGTTCAAATGGTATAGCACCTGCCTGGCAGGAGTGAGGCCCTGAGTTCAGACTCTAGTTCCACCAAAAAAATAAATAAAAAATAGGGAACTAAGGACCAAATACTTGTTCAAAACCATATAGATCATTCATAAAGATCATGCAAAGAAAATCAGTGGCAGAATATTTTCTATATTCAGTTTGTGACCACATCTCCACATTTACCTCTGAAAAGTCATAAATATTCAGTGCTTAAATCAAGAAATATTATTAAAAATAAATTTGAGGTTATAATGCAGACTTTTATGAGCACAACACATTTTAGTAGTCTAAATAGAAGATTCATATTTATAATAAGCTAAGTCACTTGAATTTCTTAATTTTGTTGAGCTTTGAATTGCCACTGAAATAGCATAGTACTCTGCTAACATCTTCTAACATTATTTTAGATACTATATTTTTTGTTTTTTCTATAAATAATATTGTGGTTTTATAATATACAAGTATATATTGAAATTTTTCAATAATCTATTTTCTAACTGGCATTCACTGAAGTTCCAGATGTGCTTACAGGTGTTAGTAGGACTTGAATCCATTGCTCAAAGTCACATCAGCAGGTTTACTTATTAGTCCTTCCATTGTACTAAGTACTAAATAGTCTCACTTTCTATAGTTACTTTAGTACGACGATTGGAAATTAAATATTAGCACAAATTGCTAATCACTTTCAAGGCACACGGCTTTATTTTTGCCATTCACCCCAACATGTGAACTCAGTGGGGCTCTTTAACACTCACTAGTGCTTCTAGCATTTGACCCACACTAAAATCCATGCTTTGTTCCTCCTTCACCCAGTTAATTTTAACCTTGACCTCCCACCGCTCTAACTTGCTTTGCTCAGTCTCAAAAAAAAAAAAACTCCCTGATCTCCCTGATTCCACCCTTTCTGCCTGGAATGAAGCAATAGTGGAGAGGAAAAATAAAACCCATTCCTTTAAGAAAGATTCCGCCTCTTTTCTTATAAGCAAGCGCCTAATGGTAATTGTGGAGTCTCTACTAAGTCACACACTTTACTACTCAGCAGTGGGAGAAGCTGCTGAAGCTGCTGCTGCCGCCGCTGGTCCGAAGCTGCAGTGAGTTCTGTGCAGCACTGCAGAATCCACACCTAGTAACCGAAGGCAGACACACACGTCCACCACCCTGCACACAAGGAAGACTGAGATCGTCTGCGGGTAAGCAGCTCTGTTACCATTTTGTTCACAAACCGTGGGAAAGGGAATGATCGTGGAAAAAGACTTCAGACATGCTTTAAAATGATTCTGTGATTTTGTCCTCCTTTGGTGATGGTGGGGGTCTAGGTTTGTGACTGGCAAATGCCCTGTGAAGTGGAGACTATTATGTGCTAATGTGCCTTGAAGATACTTTTTTTTGATATTCATAAAAAGACTAACCTGGATGCATGCAAAAGCTTTTTAAATTTTTCTTTGCTTTTTAAATGCAAGAAACCATCCAGCCACTCCCAATATCTCTCTCAAATACTGCAGCTATTTTAAAATGCCAAATAAAATGACAGGCCAAGCATTTTCTAAATGTCGATTTTCTCTCCAAAGCTAGGAAGTCTTCCCCACGACTGTTTAAAGCATATTTTAAAATAATAAGGCATGGTTGGATTTTGAACAAACGGGCAATGGTGGTAGACTAAAATTTCTATAGCCTTAGTCCAGTGGAGAGAAAAACGAGGATAAATGAATCGCAATTTGTGCCAAGATTCATTTTCCACACTTCATATGTGGGAAGAGGAAACTACATTTTAATTAGCACATTTTTAGGGAAGAGGGAGAGGATGAAGATGAGGGGGGTGGTGGGAAGTATTTGAGGGGGAAGAGAAGAGTCTGCCGATGAGGAAGGAAATGAAGTGGACTGTCGCCAGTGTCTTGGAAACGACGGGAGATAAGGGTGGGGAGTGAAGTTTGTTGTGTGTGCTAGGGTGGGGTTGACCCTAGGGACCATGAGTCACTAGCATGGCGCTCGGAGGGGTGTGCTTGCGGGTGAGTTCGTGCCGGTGGAGGACATGTGTTTGGGAGAGATGTGCAAGTCGTGGGTGGCAGAGAAAAGTGTGCGCCGCTGGGAAGTCTATTTCGAGAATAGGTTGGGGTGAGAAACACGCCTAGGAGGTGGGGGTGTGCGGCCCAGTGTCACCTGTGGAGGGGTCCCCCAGCCCTGCAATTGAGGGTTGCAAAGTTTGCCTGGCCTCAAATAGATTCTGAAGGCTGCTGGTAGGACCTGGACTTTTCATCTCCAGAGGTCAGTTCTCGAAAGGTTATGGAGGCAAAGCGCCAAACTGGGAGTGCAGACTCTGGAAGGGTACAAACGAAGCAAATTTGTGGGAGCTCTTGCCCTGCTCCTCTGTGGAGGTGAGTGGGGGAGTGCCCCAAACACAAATGTGCTGAGAAGAAAATGAAGCCCCTCATGGGGGGGCATGCAGAGGTCGAACTTTAGTAGGGCCCCCCCCCAAAAAAAACCTAGCAGCCCAGTGGCTACCCAGGCTCATTCTGGAAACGGCTGCTCAATCTCGTGAGTAGGGGGAAAGGGACTCGTTTAGACTGGGGGAAAAATTTCCGAGGGGCCCCTCCGTCCTCAGCGGTCGGGTTTCGTTTGGGGTCGTTTCCCACTCAGGCCGCGGATCGGAGCTGCACAGCGGGAAAAAGACATTGTAGAGGCGCCAAGCAGCCGCCCCGCAACAGGCCCGCCAGCCTGCAGAGTACGGAGGCCCCCTTGGCCACTGCTGCACAGATGCCGAGCTTGCAGCGCTGGAGAGGGGGTCGCGGAGGGCGGGACGAGAGCGCTCCAGGGGCGCCCAGGGCGGGGCCAGAGAGCGTAAGGGCCCACCGGAGGCGGGGCCTATGGGAGGCGGGGCCTGGACGCTCGCGGCCGAGGGGAGGGGCCAAGGGTTCTCGAGGGCTGCTTGGGGCGAGCCTGTAGGGGGCGGAGTCAGGGTCGCTTGGGGCGGGGCCAAGGACGCTTGAGGGGGGATCTTGGCCAGTCCCGCCACAGCGCGAGCCGCCTGCCGGTAACGGTCGCTGGTGTGAGGGGCGGGAGGACAAGAACGAAGGTTAAATTCTATTTTTCTGAAACAGAAAGTAAGAGTTTAGAGGCATCGGTGACTAGCTGTCGCCGCTTCCTGCCGCACAGAGCTCGGCGTCCAGGCCCCTCCTTCCTCACGCCCCCTCTCCGTCCCCGACCCTCCCCTCTGGAGCCGTGCGACGTTTTCAGAGGCTGCTGCGGCGGACCGGGCGGCCGCTGCAGCCCGGCGGCTGCGGAGAAGGAGGGAGGGGAGTACAAATCCGGTTGCAAGCTACGAGGTAATCTTGCGGGCAGTGGGGACGCCGTGGTTCCGCCCCTTCTCGCGGCCAGGACGCGGGCGTTTGCGCGGGGGCACCTCGCCGGGGTTCCCGCGAGGAGGAGACTTCCTACTGGCTGTCCCCGCGGCCTCAGGTGAACCCCTCTCTGGGGCGGGCATGGGAGCCCCGCGCGGGCCGAGGGGAGCGTGCCTGCGGGGGAGGGGCCGGGGGTCCGCGGGGCGCGGTCTCGGGGCGCCGCCGAGTGGGCCCCGACTCGCCGGCGACCTCCGGCTTCCCCCGCGAGGGCGGGGGGTTCTCAAATCCCGGGAGCTTTGGTGACCCTGAAGGTGCACACCCGGGGGTGGAGCTTCCCGCGCTTTGAAAAGGTGAAAGAGTCTCGGCTTGTTTGGATTTTTTTCGCCCCATTGAGAAAACTCGTCTTACAAGTTGAAAGTGTTCAACCACCATTCGTGTCTGATTCACGTCCCCAAGTCCCCCTTCCTCCCCCCCCCAGCTCCCGCACAGACACCCAAACGCACCACCCTCACAAGTATGCACGTTAGGTTGCGCTTCCTGCCCCGGGTGACAGACAGATTGGCAGCAGATCTGGTTGTTGATGTTGGGAGCACCACCATTCTCTCTGGAAGTATGCGCTTAGATCTGAGACAAGGCCACGGACAGGTAGGATAAACTGGGCCTTTATTAAAATGGCAAGAATGGTCTCAGGTGAATTTTTTTTTTTTTTTTTTTGCAGAGATTTAATTGCAAGTAAGTGCTCGGGTTAAAATAGGATCGTGAGGAAAAACACTAGTATCCTTGGTACATACACTGCTGCAGTTGACCTGCTAGAATGCTATGGGATTTATCTCAACCAAGAGGCTTTGAGTGAGGATTATATGGAAAGTTTGTGAAGCAACTGATAAGATTCTGAGGCTTGGGACCAGCTCCATAAAGTGTGCGGGTTGTTTACATTGAATTATGCAAATTTTAGATTTAGCAGTATCAAATGGTTGCCTTTCTTGGAATGGATTTCATCTACATCTGCTGGAAACATCCTGATTTGAGTTTTGGAAGACTTCTAGTGAGAGTTGTTAAAGGAGAATAAGAGTACAGTGTAATTTGGTGTTTTAACATTTAAGATACTTGACTAATAAAAAGATTTGTGTACTTAAGGTATGGGACTGACTCATTTATAGGGCTAAATTACTTTGGAAGCATTTATTAGAAAGATTTTACATATCAATATCCATTGCATAGTACTTGCATGAAACTCTTTTTCTTTTGCTTCAATTGAGGTTAATTTTATTGAGGGAGGATCAGAAAAAAAAGGGTGGGGGCACTTCATCTCTCTAAAGTGTTCAATTTATATAGTAACTTAAAACTGACCTAAAGTGCTAGCATGTTGGTAATAGTTGTTTTAAAGAAAAATCGTAGTGCATCTATTTTGAATGTTAAACATAATTTAAGGAGTTCTTGATATATTTGGTATGAGACATTTAATAAGTTGCAACTTTTTACATATATGATATCGGGAAATGTTTGGTAAACACTTGGTGTAAGACAGGTAGTCCTATGACAGCTAAAAAATACTTATTTTGCATGCTAGAAGGATTGTATTTTCAGAATGTTAAGATTTAGCCATTGACTGAAAATGAATGAGAAAATTACATGTACACTTAGTTATTTCTAACCCCCATTTCCAATAATATTATGCTGGGATGAATGTGAGTCCCTTTCAGTGATGTGGATTTGGTCCTTCTAAAATGATAATTTTTAGGGGACTAAGAGGGCATAATATTAGCAATAGCTTACCTCCTACACATAATCCTAAGACCTAGGTAAGGATGGTGGACAACTTCTGAGGTGGTGAGCTTCTTGAAGTAGTCCTATCTGAGTACTTTCATCACATACAGTCCTATAGGTGGCTGGTTAATTTCTCCTGTCTTAAAGCAGTTGGCCAGCAGTACTGGGCAGCAAGTATGCATGTCATACTGACTTTGTGCTGAGGGAAGAAATCAGGTAGAAACATGGAAACTCAATTCTGAACAAACACAAGTTTGTAGGATTGTTGGCAGTGACCATATCAGAACCTTCTTTCCTCATTGTTATATGTAAAGTGACTAGAGTAGAGCCTGTGCTCAGTAAGTGTTTTATGTGTTCATTCTCATCAGTATATAAAATGACTTTTTGGAGGCAGTTACATCATGCCACCCAGGACTGAAGACAACAAATATTTGTAACTGCCAATATTTGTATGGTTTACCTCTGTGCTAGGCACTACTCTAAGAGTTTTAATGATTTGATTTATTTAAATCCTCCCAACAACCCGGTGACTAAACAGAAGCACCAAGAGGTTAAACACCTTGCTTGTTCTGGACCCAGAGTTTTAGTCAAGAGTGAGCCCATGTAGCCACTAAGCCACTAAGCTGCTATCTCATTCATGGTAATGGTTGCAAATCAGTGAAAGATGTTCACTGCATTCCCAAGACTACTAGTACTAGTTGTGTATGTTCAGTTTAGCCACCCTCATATGTTAATACTACTATCACTAGGTAGTGTTCAAACTTGAAGGGTAGCCGGGTGCAGGTGGCTCACTCCTGTAATCCTAGTTACTTAGGAGGCAGAGATCAGAAGGATTGTGGTTTGAAGCCAGCCAGGGTAAATAGTTCCATGAGACCTCATCTCGAAAAAACCCTTCACAAAAATAGGGCTGGTGGAGTGGCTCAAGGTGATGGCCCTGAGTTCAAGCCCCAGTACCACACACAAAAAAAAAAAAACCTGGAACAAACAAACAAAAAAGCCAAATCTGAGAGGTAGTGATTAAACTGCATTGAGTAGAGTTACCTTTTGATTTTAGAAGAGGAGTCTTTTTTTTTTTTTTTCCTTGTTTTTGCAGAACTGGGGTTTGAACTCAGGGCCTCACATTTGCAAGGCAGGCACTGCCACTTGAACTATTCCACCAGCCCACTTACTTTTGAAAATACTATGTAGAATTTGAATAGCAAAACTTTAAATGTTTCAGCAGCAGTGCTATCCTCCTTTTAAACATAGTCTTGTTTGAAATTACTCAAACCCAACTCGAAATTAACATGACTATGTCATGTCATTGAGATTCACAACAAGTTCCTTAATACTTTATTTCATGACTCCTATGGTAATGCACTTTAGGGTCTGTGCCCCCATATTTTAAGTGAGAATGTTATGCAGCCTTTCAGGTTTTGCCAGAGATTAAATTCCCTTGGCCAAAAGCCAAGATAATCTCAAATTTTTACTGTAATGGGTTGTATATCAAGAATCCTCTCTAAGAATTTACAAGTCTTTCACTGAGTATGGCTTGAAAGAAAAAAGTTTGTATCCCTTAGATGAATTTACAGTAGCTCCCCTTATCTATAGTTTTGCTTTTAGAAGTTTTAGTTACTGGTGGTCAACTACAGTTCAAAAATACTAAATGAGAAATTCTAGAAATAATAAGTTTTTAAAAACTTGTATTATAATAATTGTTACACTTGTTATTGTTCTCTTATTGTGCCTAATTTATAAATTAAACTTTATCATAGATCTGTATAGGAGAAAACAGTATATATATGCTAATCTGACTTCAGACATCCACGGGGGGGGGGTGTCTCAGAATGTATTCCCCTGGGATAAAAGAAGAACTGCTCTAATTATTTCTTCTAGCAGTAGCAAATTATGGATATGTATGTGTACAACCATTCTACTTGGGGAATTCTATTCCTTTCAGGTAAAGTTAAAAATTGTTCAGTTGGCCTTCATTCAGTACATGTTTACTGAGTAACAACGGTTTAAAAAAAGAAGGTGATGGAGAAGAAAAGCAGGTTTTGGACTTTTTTGTTCATTTCATGTGTATTTAACAATGCTATTTTTTTTTTTTTTTTGGCAGTACTGGGGGTTTGAACTCAGGGCCTCAGGCTTGCTAGGCAGGCGTTCTACTACCTGAGCCACTCTGCCAGCCCTAATAGTGCTCTTTATAGCTGAATAAGTCTTAAAATAAAGCTCAAAATTAGTTGCACAACTGAAAACATATTTGAATGTTAGGAAAGTACTGTTTAGCTTACACTAAAGTCTTGAGTGTTAGCATAGATATGAGAAGGAGAGTCCCTTGTTTCCTTAAACTGTTTTTGGTTGAATATCTTTGAAAAGCTGCATTAACAGTCTCAGTCTTCTAAGACATTACTTACTATCCTTAATGAAGAGTATCCTGGAAACCTTAAGGAATGAATGTGGCTTTCAGAGTTGTCTAACATAATCCAAATAGTAGCGCCATAACTAAAAGGTGTAAAATGGTTGAAACCTTCTTTAATTTAAAAAGGCTTACAGTTCTTAAAATTTGTGTCTTAAGAAGATAGTATAGATTATAGATTATAGATTGGTCTTAACAATGCTGAAAGCTGAACTGTTACTGTACAAGGTGTATATAGGCTTCAGCGTATGTTTTTATCTTTGTGATGAGTTAGATCTGCATTGAGCCTTTACCTGATGTCAAACTGATCCAAATCACATCCTATATCTTACAACTTTTTGGTTTTTTTTTCAAAGTTGGCTTTAGTTAAAGCTTATTTGGAGTCATTCTCATTCTCTTTGTAGAGATGATCTGCTTTCAGTCTATTGAAAGTATATTCCTTTCCTAATAAAGTTTATCACTTTCACTACAAAAAAAAAAAAAAGCTTAGTTGGAAGTGCTAAGACTCACTGATACAAGATGAACTTTGAAACTTCTTTGGTTCAGATTCCCTGAAACTAGGACTGGTGATATATTGGTGTATAGGCAGCACAATAACTAGCATTTAAGATTGTTACTTCCTCAAATAAGGCTATAGTTTCAACCTCAGATTATGAAACTCATTTTTTCCTACAGTGGGCATAACTGATATTCCTCACAACCAGCCGAAGGTAAAAATAATATCCAAGAAATTTAAGGACAATAACATAATGTCCTTTAAACCTGTATCTTGAGCTGTATACTATTATATGTATTATATGTATACTATTATGATACTGTTAGAATATTATATACATACATACAGTTGTATGTATACATACAATTATATGTGTTACATTATTTTATATATATTATATAACACATATATGTTCATAAAATAATTTTAATACTCACATTATGCTTTAAGGCAAATAGACATCCCAGGCAAGCATCAAATCAAACAAGATCAAAATCTAGCTCCAAATAATACACATGAAATAATTATTTTACTTTTTTAGCTAACTCTCATCCCCTGTAAATTTCTTGTAATTTCTTGCTCTCCTGATTCCCACCAAGGAACTTCTACTACCTCCTTGAATGGAAGGGCAAAGGACGGCACAGGTGTGAGTCAGCCTGTTTCACTCAGCTCCCATGGC